ACGCGTTCGCACACTGCATGTAATGTACGCTTGACTCAATACATCACTTTCCAGCATGTGCATGTACCCAGGCATGTTGTCTAAATAAAGCTGATACATTGTACATGTGCTGGTACACTTCATATCCTTACGTATCCTTACGTAATGTCATTTCACATTGTCCTCGTTATCCTTGATCTGTGTTGATTTTATTTACAGCAAGCTTATTACTATCTCTTTATCTGTGTACCTGCTTTTATTTAATAATCAACTCACTGAGTGTCATAAAGTGAGGAGGTATACATACCTCTACATACGTATGTATGTTGGGTACTGTTCTTTGGCATGCACACGTGTCTACCAGTATGTGATAATTTTTTTAAAATTTTGTCTGAAATCTTGATGGCTAATTTGTTTTTGTTTAGCCTGTACCGGTACATTACTGATAGTAGTATTAGGCCCCCCCCCAAAAAAAATAGTTGGTCTCTGGTCAGCACGCACGTTGATTTTGAACATGCACGTCCATTTTTTTCTCAAAATTTTCAAAATAGCACCCTGTATTTCCGCACTGGCTGAATGTTTGCGAGTAGACGGATTCCCGTCCACAAGTCCATATGTCGGAAGGGCAATTTGTTCAAGGAACCAGACTAATTTGTAGGTAGCTCGTACCCAGTGATACATCCGTTATGACTGCTTAATGTTGATGTCGAGCACAAACAGTAGACCATGGTTAGGTTACAAAGTTGCAGCCAGCTGATCACCAACAATGGCAGCGTGATGTGCGACATGCTACTACTAGCCTTTGCTCTTTGATTAAATATGCCACTCATTTCCATGTCCGTTGCCAGTCTTAAAAAGCCAACCCCACCCCCCAAAAAACCAAAAAACAAACAAACAAAAAAAACAAAAAACGCATCGCCGCATCAATTCTGGAACTTTGGTCTGACCAGAGACCGGGTATTTTTTTGGCCTTATAGTAACTTCTAAGCTTGATGGTTCGACCATCAACCCAACTATAGATCCTCTTTAAGTGAGAGAATGCTATACATACATGTACATGTAGGTCAACATGTACATGTACATGTATATTGCTAGGACTTTTTGAACACATTCTCCTTGAAGCTGTCATTGAAGATCGTTGATCTGCACATCAGTGTGGTACAAAATCAGATGTTCTCTTGGTAACATGTACCATTCGGTACCATGCTGCAAACTGTGTCTACCTGCAAGTGTAATCCCATAAGACAAAAGTGAATGCTGTAAAGGGTGCATTGCTTCTGAAATACACGTTTTGTCTTGCGGAGTGTTCGTGACAGCACTGGTACTAAATTTGTTCTGGGATCTTATCATTTATGCCTACTCAGTGGAGCACTTACCCAGGAGTGGCATGATGATGGCTCTTCATACATGTACCAATATACAGTGTACTGAAAGATCTCTGCATGCAAATAATAATAGTGTTTATTTAAAAAACACTTTTCATACCAAGTATCTCAAAGCGCAGTACAATATAGACATTAAAACAATAAAATAAAAGCCAACACAATCATATGTAAATATTAAAATTAGTTAAAATACTCATGAAAAAGGAAGGTTTTAAGATGCCTTTTAAAACCATCATACGATTGAAACTGATACACTGAAACCGGCAGATTATTCCATAACTGAGGAGCACAAAACGAAAAAGCCTGATCATTGTAGAAACTGGCAACTCTCTCCACTGGTTGGTGGAGCTGAATTTTGCCGGCTGATCTTGAGCACGACTCTCAATTAGTTACTCGAATGTTAACGAGATCATTCAGGTACACCGGAGCTTTACCATTCAAAATTTTAAAACCAAGCACAAAAGTTTAAATTCACACCTCTGCAAATGAAGCATACGGGTAGTTTCAGGGAATTATATTGTGCATACTGGTACTTATTCTTTGAAAGGTGTACTGGGCTGATTTTGTGTAACTCCTTTATGGAGGAAGGTAGTTGAAAAATGTTGTCAACATCAAGGAACAGGACACTTCACACTAGTACTTTCCAAAGATAACCACAGTGCATTGATTCTACCCTTACAATACACCTCAGACATGGACTGGCAGCTTGGCTGTGAGACGGAAGAAGAAGTTGGCATAATTCTGACTTATCATGAGTCAACTTTGAAAGGTTGACTTTCGTTGAAATTATGCGCTGGGGAACACGGGTTTATTTTCTTAGATTGAATCATCCAGTGATGCATGTACCGTGTATGTAATTCGGTCAAGAAAGCCTTGCATCTTATTCTCATCAAACACCATACCGGTAGTAAGCTCCTTCACCACCAGCTCCAAGTGTTTTAAAGCATCCTGGTGCAACGCAGACCAACTTAATAACTCATTCTATAATAAATCAAATATTGACTGGAGGCAGGATCATTCTATAAATTCAGGGTCCTAAAGTGTGACATTTTGGTGTCCCTGTTACACCTGACCTGCGTGATACATGTATATGAAAATATCACTGAAATTGATTCCATATTATTTCTTTTTGGTTGGCAGGTAAGTTGCATTAATTCATTACTCTTGGAAATTGGAGAATGTGACCTGAACTTTCAGCATCATATGTCAGATGACAGGGAAACAAAAACAATTAGATCCCTAATTTATAGAATGACCCATTAGCATGATGAGAACCTTGTTTATTAAAGCGCACTTGCTTGAGAGGTTTAAAACTTTCCTTGGTCGTGGACTTCACTGAGAGTAACACCCCGACATACGTACCGGTACCCTCTCATTCCGTTGCGTTAATGCTAGAATTGGTTTCCACAATGTACAGATACAGAACCTAACATTTGGATCTTTACCATCAGGCAGGTCAAAAGCTAATCCAGGAGTATCACACACATGTAATCAGTGTAATACCTACGTCCTTGACATACAGGTGCACTCCTTGAGGTATTTACATGTAGCAGTACCAATCAACATGATCAACAGAAATAGCCATATACATGTAGATATGAACTACCATACTACCCCAGTACATAAGATGTACATTGTAGGTACTGATAAGAACGTATTGCATGTACAGTGCATGTACATGTACTAGTACAGTAAGCCTACCATAATTATGTTCATTCTGCACAAATTGTCAGAAACACTTTGCCTTCCCTATGTGTCTTTAGAATGACCTTTTCCATCTGTATTTTTTCCATCTGCTTGTAAATCTTAACACATTCTCTGAATTCATGATAGTCACACTTCACTGTTCACGTTTTAATATTGCCCCCTTCCCCCTTGATATCACTTGGGATTCTTCTCCGATCTTCAGAGATTGTCTGTAATTTGTTAAGGCAATGTCACGTACTAGTACCGGTGGATCACTCAGGCGAAGCTGAAGTTTCATCCAACTCAAGTTGCCGCTCCAGCTGTGGAAGTGGCTGCCTTCTACACTCTAAGTGTATTTCCGGCTTGCTAGGCCTTGGCATAATTGGTTGTCAGATTGAATGGAAGATCAGTTTGGTTGTCCACCTCTGAGTCAGAATGGAATTGTAGATGTATGCAATCAGATAACTAGATTAATTTCCAAGATGGAATTGCTCACAAGGACAAAAAAATAAGGGTTTTGGCCAGTTTTGTTTCAACCATGTGTACATGTATGTGCATCATGTCAGCTTTCTTGGGTCATTCTATAAATTTGGAAACCAACAGTGTGACATTTTTGTGTCCCTGTTACACATGACCTGTGTAATTTGAAGGGGAAATACATGTATCTCTGAAATTGATTTCAGACTATTTCTATTCGTTTGGCAGGTAATTTGCATTAATTCATTACTCGTGGAAATAAGAGAATTGTTCTGAACTTACAAAATCATATGTCAGATACGACAGGGACTTTAAAAAAATTGGACTACTGATTTATACCAGTAGAATGACCCTCATACACGTGTGCATGTATGCATTACACGTACAGTACAGTGCATGTGCTTGGTTTGTGGGACTGTAAATTACGTGTATGTTCACAGTGTTACTTTTTTGGAGTTTTCAGTTTCTAGTTTCAGGGCGTTTCACTTGCCACAACAGTTGGGTATGTCAGGTCGAAGGGTTTTTACAGCATTTCTAGATTCTAGAATGTCATCAGGGAGAGCAGTGTAAATTCCTGTAAATTTGGATATCACTACAGTGTATGTGACTTACATGCACCAGCATGTGCAGTTGAACATACATGTATGTACATGTATTTATAAATATTCTTTAGTTTGGTTGGAACAATGTCAGTATTAAAGAATACATGTAGTAAGGACATTTGCCGTGGACATTCAGTTCAACATATTTTCATACAAATGACTATATATCCGTAACAAAAATACAAACAAGATCTACATGCTTTTTTCCATTTCAGTGACTAGAAGGCGGTAGTTTTTCCATGCTTGGGAAAATACTTTCCTCAACAGATTTTAAAGAGCACCGTTTTTCCTTTGTCTTACAAGGCATTCTTATCGAAAGAGCCTAAGAAAAGTACAACAATTTTGTCCTTCACAATTATTCCTCAACAACATTCTGAGGGAATGTTGACCGTTGCTATTGTCCAACCAGCTACCGGTACTTCATAGGATAAACAAGGATTAACCCTAACAGTCCTCAGTCCTCCAACAGGTGAACGACTATTAGGATTAACACATACAACTGTACATGTACTCCAAGAAAATGTAGAAAAGTGGGATAAACCGTTGTTATGTTGCATGCGGAGCTATGGAGCCAGAACTGTTCTACCGGTACCTTGACTAACATCATGCTTTATACATGTAGCTCTTGAATATGAGCTTGGGCCATATTTCATAAAATGAAAACCATTATGTTGAAGTTTTTCTCTTTTACCGCCGGAAAGAAAATACATGTAGAAAGTCACAGAAACATTGCAAGAAATCTTTCCTACACATAGTAATGTCACAATAATCCGAAGAAAATTTGATGTTGCGGGCAGTTTTTAAAAATGGTCTCTAATTTGAACATTCTAGAATTTCTTCAAGGCTTTTCCTTTTTCATAATTCAAAACAGGAGTGTCTTGTCCCAGTGAGCAGTTTCAGTGTTTGGATGGAAGTTGCATCAATCAAACCAAAGTCTGCAATTTTGCTGATGATTGTCTGCATGGCAACGATGAAGCCACATGTAGTAAGTGTCTTGTTTTTGCATTTAATTTTGAGGTTTTAGAAATTATAAAGCATATTTGTACATTTCCATGTGAATTTTAACTGATAAAAATATGGAAGTTTTATTTTCTGGGCAAAAAAACAAAAACAACATATTAAGGTTAACTTACATGTAAAATGACAATCTCCCTGTCTCCAATAGTCCACCTTAATGTACAACTTCATATTAAGCTCTTAAACCATTGTTACAAACAGTAAATGTACATGTTTTGTCAGAACAAACCGTGCATGTTCGGACGTGAATTTGACAACATGTTCAGTGCCTGCACGCAATCCTCGTTGATTCCTGTCTTGGGGCTGGGTTAGCCATGCGAACCAGTCATGCAGCGTTAATAACCAAACTTCGATTTGGGCTACTCCAATCGGCCACACATAAAATGGGATTTATTTTCCATTGCCAAGATCAACTAAAAATAGCAAGATCAAGCACTCTAGGAATTATCTAAACTGATGTTCCTCCACTGGCGATAGTTGTGCCAGGATTGTTCATTGCCAGCAGCTTGAAAGACAATTTGTCAAAGTGACTGCTACCATCTGGATCTTATCAAACACTGCCTGGAAGTCCAGTTCTGACACTACAATAAAATGTGTATATTCTCTCATAAAAGACGTTTCACAGTAATTGGCAGAGTTCTATAGTTTATCAGTTAATCCATGTACACAGTGGTGAACTGTAATCCCAAAGGGCGTATCCATACCACTTCATCCATAAATGTCCCATTTGATAGTACGAAGTGATGACTCAAAGCACAGGCATACCCTGTATGTCGAGATCCACTCTGTGCAGTTGATTGTAATTTTCAAAAGTGAATCCATGGTTTGGCTAAAAGAAGAAACTTTCCTACATTTAGAAGTATGGTGATTGTGAAGACTCAAGAAGTGCTCACTCTGTGCACCTGCGGCCCCTACGGCCGGTGGCTCATTGGTGACAGAGAGAGGCTGGCCGGACGTTTGATAGCCATTGTTGCCTTATAGGACCCCTTGGGTATGTGCACATTGTGTATGGCTATTGGGCCCGTGGGATGTTGAAGGCAACAGAGGGTCTTCTATCAGCCTAGTATCAGTACATGTACCTCATGTTCAATTATTCCCCATGCTTACCGGTACTTGGCTAAGCCCAACTGTATACGATTCTATAGTCATGTGACTTCTTGTAATTACTCTCATGCCGAGCCCAAGCAGTTGATCAGCTGTGGCAGTAACTTACATACTGTATGTATTTTACTTTCGGAAAAATCCCACAATACAGTGCAAAAACATAGCAGCTACATGTAAGTCAAATGGTATCAAGGAATGTTGATACCGTTGTACGTACAGTGTATAAAGGAAGAACACAGAAAAATGTTGCATAGGCCTACATGCAATGTACATGTATGTAGTTCCATGTTCTGTGTGAGGAAGGTTAGAAATGTGTTTTTGATGTCCATCGCTTTCAACAGCTGAATTCATTTTGCAAATCTACCAGTGAATGTTGCAGAAAGTTCTGGTCCAGGTGGTTATGCCAGCTAACACAGTTAATAATCCACAGACATCATTGCACACCGTTTGGGTTCTTTCGCACAGCGGATGCAAAGTGCTCCCCATTAGAATGGAAGAGGACTTTGCTTTGTGACAATAATCTTCTGTTATCAGTCTGATATGATGTGTATGCACATGCTATTATACAAGAATCATGATAAAATCTAAAACTATATTCCGCACGGGAATTATTGATCATGGTATTAGGAAGGGGAAAGGAATTGAACACAAATGTTTGCAGGAGACCATCAGATTTGGACACCATGGTTCAATATGTACATGTACCGGTACAAGTACATTTATGTAACTGCTGAATTCTGGTGTTATTCACCTCATTGAAATCAAGGCTGTCACAAGTCAAGTCAGAAGGAATGAACAAACCCCCCCCCAAAAAAAACCCAGCTTGCAACCTGACTTGATACTGAAGGACTTGTTAGATCCAGTGAGTTAGTGTCGGAAATTAATCACACTGAATCACTGAATCATGACTAACATGATGTGCATACATGGCACTCCAATGCAGGAGTTACGGAACAGGGAGTACGTGTACACATGTGCCAAAATTCCTTCTTCGACATTGATGCAAGGCGATCATGTGTAAATGCCATCAAGGGTTTCAGATTTTGTTGTCACAGAAAATTATTGTGTTAGGCACTGTTGTATGGACAGTGATGTTGGAAAACAACCAATATTAACACATACTAGTAGCTAGGTGCTCTCCGTACAGTATATTTTACACATAATTACAATTTGGTCGTTAACTTCAGTGAGTTATTATTCAATGTTACACCCTTAAAGGAGGTTGCAAAGGCGTTAGTCTGTAAAGCCTGGTTTCCAAACGGTCGTTTTAATGCAGATGGAATGCAAGATGTAGAGGCGCAGACCCGAATGGAGACGGTGCGTGACGTCATTCTATCCCATGACACCTCCGTTTGGCACGTTTCCATATGTCCGCGTTGCAGTTTGTGTCTTGATTGCGCTGCTCTCGGCATTTCTTACATTGATATGGGCACCGGGCTTTACAAAAGTAACGCAATTGTGTACATATATGTACAGAAATTTCTGTGATCCAATGAGCCTTCTTATGAAAAAAGATTTTGTCTTCTAATGAAGAAACAGCACAAGAATTTGGGTCCTACTCTGTACCTTTTAACTGCATGAGAGAAAAAGATACTGTAAAATGTGAAAATACTTTCCAGTGAATCTGTCTGTCACCCATGGAAGTATCCTGCAGTGTTTTATGCTACGGTAGCTTGCCTACTTGTAGATTATTTGCTTACAGTGAACAAACTAGGCTCTGTTTTCATTGGCACTTTGGCGACAGAGATCCATGCTGTTGCACGTTCGTATTTTTACAAGAAACCTGCATCCTCCCTGCAAGGGGGACAAAAGGGATGCGGTTCCAATTGGTGGGTCCATAGTTGCAGTTGATAAAGCTGTGAGGACGTGTACCTTTCTCTCTTTCAAAAGTCACAGCCTCTGTCCTCACTTTATCTGTACTTGATCGTTGATTGTATCAAATAGGCAAACCTATAAACTCTGTCAACATCCAATCTGATTGTCCTTCACATTGCAAATATTGGGGCAATAGGTTAATGGGGGTATGATGAAATAGGCTTCAGAGAAATGAGATAGCTCGCTCTGTCAGTTCCAAAATGTCAGGCTGTCAGGAGAAAAAAAACCCTTAATTGTAATGCACTGGAGGTGTTAAAATCCATCATCAATCTCACCAGCCACGCCCGATTTTTGGGAATTTGCTTTTCTGGTTAAACTCATGATCAATCAGTCAATTGTACTGGTAATTCACCAGGCATGGGATATTTTTAAGTACTTGTTTATCATTCAGTATCCCTTATGTCATCAGCCATTAATTACAGGGCATTTGAAGTGTCAGGTTTGCTTTTCAGCAAGAAATAACAAATTTCCCTGACCAGAACAAAGTCTTTTTTTGGAACTGTGACTAGCTTGCTGGAGCTAAATGTGTCAGTTGAAGGCTCTAAACTGTGGTTGCAGTCGCAATGTATACGTACATAGTTGTCCTTTGTGTGATGCACAGCATTTTGGCTTGCACAAGTGTGGTAAAGGAACCGGGAAATAATTTGTTTTGCATTTTTTACCCATATTTTCCTGCTTTTTTGGTTTTATGCTGATACATATTTGCATATTCATGAGCAGAACTATGATGTCATCCAAGGCACTGAATCTCAATGTTGCACTGATTTGTGCACAGAAAATTTCTAGCTTTTTTTAACCACTGCTGTGGCAGATTTCATTTTCTTTGGCAATTTATTGCTATGTAAGTATATGGCAATAATCCAACAAAAATCCTTTTCACAGAAATGTTCCCAGATAGAAAATTTTGGGTTCACAATTTGAACATGAAAACATGCAACCTGAACCATATCTTCCTGGATAAAACATCAAAGCAAAAGTGCCCTCACCTGTCCAGAAATGCTTGGTCAATTTCTAATGTTTGAAAAAGTGCACTGTTCATTTCAGGCAACGCAAAAAAGTTGTCAAACAGTCTTCATACATGGAAGAAGAGTACAGAGATTTACAAAAAGTGATTCTCAGAAAAATTCATTTCCTGGATCTTTTAAGGACAAGCTCTGCTGTTCGTTCCAGTTTCAAAGCATCGACAAATGTATACCAAATTCGTGTACTGAACTCTGCCATACAAGTAAGCATTGCTGCTTGCTGTGCTGAACATTGCTCATAATACCAATAGTTCAGTTTAATATCCCCTGAAGCTTTTATGTATAGAATACACACTACACGTGTGTTATTTCTCATTCCTTTGAGCATGACTGGGATAATGACTTTGTCTCCAAGCAGACTTGTTGCCATTTTTAAGTTTGTAGCTGTGAAATGTACCGCTTTAGGCCTATGAATAGCATCATACACAAAGTAAGATATATACTGTACCAGTATACTATACAGTCTGTTTTTATGGATCGCCCAATCCGAATCAAGGTAGTGTTGGAGTCGAGTCCTCTCATCCAAGTGCTGAGTACTCCTAGTACAAGTCCCGGTACACTGGTGATGAGTCCGAGTCTAAAGCACCGAGTTCAAGTACTGTACATTCAAGGCTGAGTACTAAGCCGAGTCCAAGTACCCAAGTCTGAGTGTATGTTCATGTATAACACCAAGAAGATACATACTAGACAAATGAAATACCAAATTGAACACATCTACTGTACATGTACATGTATGTATAACACTTGAAATCACTAAGCAACAATCACCTTTACAGAGCAGTTAATAATTTTAAATTTGTAAAAATGTTTACTGGTACATATTGACAAATCAATGAATTCTCTGGCAGTTTGTGTTCCCAAAGCGATATTTTTTTATCCAAAAAATCACAGATAACTGGATAGACACCAAGTCTAAGACAACCATTTGTTGTCAAGACTGAGACTGATTTACTAAAATTACATATTAAAACTTTTTACAGTAAGCTTAAACACTTAATGCTTGAAGATGTAAACTTACTTTTTTTTTCAGCAACTGTGTCACAACAGATGTAATGTACATGTAATTTTAGTACAATCTGGCAGTATACTGTGTACAGTATTCAGCGCAGTGAGTTAGAAGCTCAACCCTCAAATTTCCCATTGATTTTATATACATGTAGTCTGCTACACAGACAAGTACATGTACCACAATCCTGGCCAAAATTGTCGGGACACTAGTCGACAACCATACTGGTACCGGTACCTTCCCCTAGTCCCCCACTCCACCTGGTCAATATTGTCATCTCAAGCTGGAGTGTCAAATGCACATTGAGACCCAACATTGAGAGGGAGGGCTTGGGGGTAGAGGGCGCGGGGGGGGGGTTGGAAGCTCAACGAGATTTTGGCCAGGATTGCACTTCTTGTTCAAGTAGTTTTAGGTTACATGTATGTGCAGGTGGATCATGTGGTCGACTGTCATTGCAACTCAGAGCATTGCCAAAGGTGAGGTTGCATGACCGGTAGAAGTAACTTGCAAATATTCAAAAATTACTAGCTGTCAGTGTTTTTAGATTTACACTTCATTTTAAAAATTTGGCCTCGTGTCTTTTTGTCTTAAACGGTACAGCATTGTAAAGCATGGATGTGACAGCCTTTCAATCTTGTTGTTTCAACTCTACCCATATTTCAGGCATTAAGTGTGATTTTGAGTCTCCCTGCTCATGGGAAATGCCTCCAGTCTCTAGCGGGATACCAGGATGGGAGATGCATAGTGGTCCTACAGACACAGCTGGTACTGGACCGTCAGGCGGTCAGAGTGATACAGGCAGTGATGGTATGTACATGTAGGGTGCCGGTACTTTGGATTCAGAGCCCCTCTCACCCCGGCATATTCATCTTTACTTTGTAGAATTTTTGAGAAGGACCATTTTTCAGGACAGTTTCATTTCCCCCGAATGTGAAAATCCCCTGCATGCATGTCCGAACACCTGAGAAAGCCCATAAAGCATGCTTATTTTTCTCCACACACACAAAAATAATAATTAAAATTGTGGCCCCCCCAACATTAGGTTTTTTATCTGCCCTTAACCTTAAAATAGCTGGGAGGGGGACAAAATCCTACCCCATGAACATTACCTCTAATATCATTGCAGTGCATTTTTGTCATGTAGGTGAGACTTAGGGATTTTCTTCATGTTTCTTGCAGTCCTTTTGAGACCAGTTTTGTGAGATTTTAGACATGCTGTTCTAGCAAAATGCAACTTTGCGAGGGTCAGCCCAAAATCAGTGCTTTTTTGCATTGCATTCTCAGTGCACCAAGGCCAACAGAATCCTACTGAGCATACAGTGCTTATTAACATACGTTGGGTACGGGCAAAACCGTTATATATATAATTAACATCTCCCCAATGCAAAAATACATCTTGAAAAAAGAATCCTACATGTACATGTATGTCAGGTTGCATTGAAACTTTACATTTGTTCTGGAAATGAGTGTCTTTGCACGTGTAACATGGTACATGTAAGTTTCAAACTGATTTGGCAATAGACAGCTGAGTTCTCTGCCCTGCTGTTCCCCCCCCCCGGGGCTGTGTACAGTATACCCTACATGTACATGTACATGCACATGTAGGCTCTTCCTTATACATGAATAGCACAATGCGATAACATACAGTGTACATGTAACCATGCCAAGTAAAAGGTTGTACCAGGTACAGTACAAAACCATTTTAGAGGAATTCTTAGTCCCCAGAAGAGAACAAAACAAGACAAATATCAACTCCTATCTTCTGCGGTTACCGGTACCTTTCTCTACACGATAAATAGCCAATGCGAAATAACCCTGGTGCAGGTGGCCGGAAGCAGTTGATTTCTCTGGGCTGGTAATTACAAACCCTTTCAAGGTGATTTATGGATTTCATATGCAGAACCAGTTGCAAAGTTTCCGCTAAACTGTGTGTGTTCAAGAACATCGAAGATACAGCGCACATCATTAGAGCACTTAACAAACAGCTGTCAAACTATACATGTATGTAGGCCTATACATGGGTAATTAATCATTAACAGGTGTTGTCCAACTAGTGGTACCTGTCAAACAGAACATGCACATAATATCCTGAACAGGCATTGTTTGCTTATTAATTAATGTACATGTAGAAGCACTGAGGAATAAAAAAACATACGTATAAGTAATAGAGTTTTTGTTGTTGTTGCTAAAGAAGGTTTGGGTTTAGAGAGACAATTTCAACCAATTTCAATTCAATGCTGAATCAGTAGCATGTTTATGATTGCTTGACTACAGAGTACAATATATTTACTTAATTTTTGAAGGGAAATGATTGAGTGTTCAATCTCTGAATATTGGTGAACTTTTTTGTAGCGTCCAAAATTTGAGGATGAATGTTTATGACTTTTCTTCTGGAAGATTTTTGTAACTGCTGCTTTTTGGAAAACTTTTAAAGACGTGCAGCTTTTGTTGATGAGCTCGGTCCAGGTTGCTTTGCCATTACACTATTTTAAGTTCAAAAACCCTTTGTAAAGTGTTTGTGTAGCTTTGAAAAATTTCCTCTTTAATTTCCTGACTTCACACTTGTATGCATTTTGTCCTTTTTGAAGAATAATGAATGGAAGAAAAAAAAGTAAATTCAAGGAATACAATAAATTTGTAATTGCCCTGTCCTAAAGCACACCAGGTGTTGAGCTGTAAAGGTTCAGGTGTGCACATGTGTACATGTACATAATCTCAACTTTAGACAACTGTACATGTATTTCACCTAACAGAAGATGTGTATAAGTGTACGTGTACATGCACAGGTACATGGACGTGCTTGTCTCTGAGAGGCTGACACACCAGACTGACATGTTTGTTGTTTATGTTGGTTTTTCCTAGAGCTACATTTAGACGTTTTAGTCATCTTCCATTTTGCAGACTCGGGGACAATTCCCATGAAGCTCTTGGGTTTGTTTGCAGTCTGCAGCTGTCTGCTACCCCAGCCAGATTGGAGTTGTAGCAATCCCTTATTCTGATGTTGAAACCCAGAACACTGAATGTCAGGGCCAGAAATACATATCAAATTTGTGGGACAACGTGCCGCCCCAAATGAAGAAAATTCAATTAAATTTTGCTCACAGGCATGTACGTGAATAAGAAATACATTGTAGCTGGAAATGTTTGCTTCGTTCATCGTGTCAATTAGTAGGCACATTAACAAATATTGGCCGAAGAAAAAAATAATCCAGACTAAATCAAATGACGCCTATCCAATTATTGGACACCAGACATTTTTATCAGTGTATAGTTGGAGTACTTGAAAATTGTAGACATGGCTTGCAAATGTAATGTTGTTGCACACATTGCAGTTAATGCATGAGTGTGAGTAGAATGCAGAATAAGGCATGACGCACACACAACACTTTCTAATTCACATTAAATTGTTTTCTGTAATTGCCCTCGGAATAGCATATACCTGTACACTTGTGACATGCACCCTGATGTGTGAGTGTATAAGGCACAGTTGGTTGCCATGGGTTGACCAACAAGAATGAAAGATGTATATGTAAGTGCGCTCTGTCTGGCAAACAGAATTTGGCATCACATCAAAAATGTTCAATATTGTTCCCCCCCCTAAAAAAAATTAAATGTGGAACTACCAGTAACAGATGTTTTGAATTGTTTTAATTACAGCATAAATTTGTTTTCTATGTAGTCTGATTTCAAACATATTTTCCCATGATGCCAGATTGAGAATATGATAAATAAAGCCATACACTATACACAGTTTACTTGTTTTGTAATGCATTGCCGGACTGTGTACTCTAATGCAATAGTATTCAGGGCTTTTTGAGTTGTCACAACTTTATCCCCACACGGTGCTTAGAAATGTGGGCATAGTGTGCCCGTGCTTTTACTGGAAGGACAATCACTCTTCACCCAACCAAAGTACACTTGTAATTGAATTTCATATTTTGTAGTGTGCTGAGACAGTGTGGACAAAACTGTAGTGTTGTACATAATTGTCCACCCTCTCAGTGTCTACTGACTTTACTGCCTCCTCCCTCGGGCGCTACACTTTTGGGCACAACATTTCTGCTCACACCTGTGTTAGGGGCCCAGGGAGATTCATTGAAAGAGGTTAGTCACCATCAGCACCTTTGGATATGACAGTGGACATCCATGTATGGAGTGACAGTCGAATATCAATGATCAATGGTACCATGTGGCTGGCGCTGACAGGAATACACATTCATGTACATGTATTTTACTGGTGTTATGGGGACTTCATGCCATTGCCAAGACTGTGCACAGGTTGTGTCACCTCGACAAGACCGTGGCTAGTTTTTGTGGCTAGTTTTGTTCATGCAGAGAGCCCTTAGTGGATAAAAAGTCATGAACTCTTATCTTGTTTGAGGTCAGTCCAAAATTCAAACCTTCCTATATGTGAAATCTTGTCTAATGACCCATAGTCAGGCAAAATCTGGCACCAGACAATTCAACTAATGACTTCAACTTATTTTCAGGGTAACAATCTTCTCATTGAAAGTGAAAGCACTTTATCAAGTGGCTAACTTTGAAATTTGATTCCAGGATGTTTAAATTTCAGAGAAAAAGTTCAACATTCCCTGTGGAGTAATGTTTTTCCGATGTTATCTGATACCGAAGCTGATATTAGAATTTGGTGCAGGATGTTTTACCAAAGTTTATGTCTCACAGTGGCATTGTTCTAGTGATAAGTGTATTTGTGTTTCAAGAGAATGGTGTCAGGAACTGCAAGTTGAATTGCTTTTTCATAGTTTCACAGAGCTTTGTGCCAGTTTGTGGGAGAATGGTGGATGGCACTATTGGCTCATTGTGTGTCTCCCTTGTACAACTCTCCCTGTCTCTATCCCTTGCTTTCTAGTTTTAGTGCTGTTTGGCCCACCCCATCTTAAATAATCCTCAAAAGCCAAGGTTCTGTGATTTCCATCTAATATCCACTGAGTAAAGGTATTGACACACTGCAGCAGGGCTGGATTGTTTAGTTTGTAGTGCATCTTTGAGACATTCCAAGGTCTCAGTTGGCACTCTGCTTCGCTCGATTTCCTTCTTTCCCCCTCAGTTGTAAATGTATTCATCAAACTATGAACCTACATTGTCCCTGTACTCAACTTCCCGTGTGAGTTATTTGGCAATTTGTAGTCACAATTACATGTTAATAGGCAAAGCTTCAAGTACCCATACACAACTGGAATTAGGTTAGTGGGTCGTTGCTGGAATTTCTACAGAATGCACAATGCAGAATTGAAAATTCTGGCAATACTTGGCAGTGTTGGCCTTGTGCATTTTTCATTAGGCCCTACTTGCCTTCAGCAAAGATGTTCATTGTTCAGGGCACCGATCATCACTCACAAATCATGAGGTGTTTGTAGTTGTTTCCTGTATAAAAAAAAGCATTGTGCATTCAACATCGGCTGGTAATTACAGGGGAAATTCCAACATGCATTACATGGGGCTGTGGCATTTCATGCAAACCAAAATGACCGATGAGCTATTTCCTCCCATTCTTGACGAGTGATATTTGGTAGAAAAATGGATATTTAATTCTGTGCATGAGTGACCATGAAGGCAGGAGGTCCCCACTGCAGGAGGTATGCATGCTGCTGTAGCCACCCTACATGCAGCTAGTCACAGCCCATTAGTGAATTTCTCCATCCGTTAAATGGAATGGGAAGGATAGGAAATGCAAATGGCTGTAATTAGTGATTACTACTCTAATTTAAAACATCTTTGCCTGGAAAAAAAGGAGGGGAATAAGTCCAACCTCCAACATCGTGAAGTTGTAAAATTGACTGTTGCAG